TCTTATTCTCAAGCTTTAAGCCGCTCACACTGTGGTACTTTCTTTGAAAAAAGAACGCTGCAAATGCAAATTTAAAGTCACCATGAGATAGCAATGCACCCTCTGGTTGGTGTCAGTTTGAGAGGATTACGAGTGATGGGTGGAGTCTGGCCTGTCAATCAAGATATAACCAGTGAGGCCTCTGTGTAGGCATGGCCTTCTCCTGAGGATTCTGGGAACTCTGGTTTTCCTCCTTGGAGGGGGGAGACACTCTCTGCTCACTCCCTGAGAGATGCTCTATTGACAAGACACATGGCGCTACGCTGATATAGCCTGTGACCTTTAGAGCTGGAGAAGCCATGCGGAGAGCCCTTCCAGCGCTGAGATGCTTACAGCGCCACTGGATCCACAAGACTTCCCACCCACTGGCCTGTGATCATCCTGCATTCGGCATCAGTGCATGTGTTTCATGAGTCTGAAGAGGACTTTATAGATTGATATCAGACATATGGGCTAACGTCAGACTTAAGGACTTGATCTGGACTGGGCTGGGATGTTTTCTCAATATCCAACTGCTCTTGCATTAAAGCTCTTTCTTATACACATGTGAGTGTCTATGTATTTGTTTCTCTCCTCTACCTGGACTAACACACCCTTATCAGAGTGACTGAAAAAAGAAAAACCAATGAAAAGCAACTCCTGGTCAGTCTGTGGGTAAACCATGTCACTCCCTCATTACTGGTGGGAATGGAAACTGGCACAGCTGATTTCCAAAATGGTTTAGCAGCTTCTTAACCAAGCAAGCCAAGCCAAACAGGAGCATGCCATTACCACAGAACTCAGCAATTGCATTCTTAGACATGTGTCCCCCGAACACTTTATTTTGCATGAGAACCTGCACACGTGTGCCTGTGGGAGATTTATCCATAAAAGCCCCAAGTGGAAAACAGCCCAGATAGCCATCAACTGGTAAGTGATTGCAGTGTGGGCTATAAAGAGCATCGAGAGAGCTCCCTGGGGTGATGGAATTGTGCAGGGTCCTGAGACTGGTGGCGGGTACTCAAGTTACACATGCAAAAATAGTATGGACGCCCACACAACTGAGTACAGGTAACAGTCGGGGGCTCTGAATAAGCTCTGTGATCCTCTCTGCCAATATTCTGGGTGTGGTACCGTACTACAGTTTTGCAAACTGTTACCCTTGTGGGGGTGGGGTGGGGGAGATGGGAACCGTGTACTCTATATGTTTTCTCTTATAACGTCATCAGAATTCACGGTTACTTCCATACACCTTTAAATGAAAAAAGCCTTGTGTAGAAGTGGCACTTGATTGGATTTTAATTTGTGAGTCAGAGCCCCCTTGATGCTGTCAGGTGCCTTTGAGTGGGTTCCTGCCTTTGGCAACCCTACGGACACAAGGCTACGAGAACAGAAAGCAACACGGCCGGCCCCCGGGCCATCCTCACCATTGTTGCCTTTGTCTGTGGTTGCAGCCGTGGGGTCAGCCCATCTCGTCCAAGGACTTTCCCTTCTTCACGGTCCTTGGGCTTTACCAGTTATGACTCCTTCTCCAGGATGGGTCTCTCCTGACAGAATGTCCAAAGGTTGGCAGGCAGAGTCTCGCCACCCTTGCCTCGAAGCAGCTTTCTGGCGATTCTTTAGAGTCATCGGAGCACAGCATGAAATGAAGGTCGTGGGTTTGGGGGACACTTGGCTTGATCAATGTGACTCTGTTCAAACAGCCAATCCTCCCAATCTTTTGAACCTCTTTGTTGGAAACGAATTGGTCAGCTCTGACGTTTTGGTAGATTTTTGAAAATCAACCTTGACATTGAGGGCGAGTATGACCAAAGCACTGTGCATCTGCCCAGATCACCCTGAAAGCTTGGAGGAAATCTTACTGGCTTTCTAGGGATGTATCAGAGGACCAGAGGATCTAGGGATGTGTCAGAAGATAAAAAATGTCTGGTCTACTGGTTGCCAGAGGCGTCACATCGGATCATTAAGGATTTTCACGTACGAGGTAGACAGAAGGTCAGTCAATGAAATACGTGAGCTCGTGCAGGAGGGAGATGTGGGTCTGTGCTGTCTTTAGACTTTTGCTTATGAAGCTGGCCTTGAACACTTGGGAACAGCCTTAGTGCTTTCTAGGGTGCCTTTTTAGGACAAGGGTTGGACTGCTAACCCTAGGTCAGGGGTACAAACCCACTAGCAACTCCGAGGGGAAGATGAGGCTGTCTGCTTCCCCAAACACTTACGGTTTCAGAAACACCCCCCATCTCTCAGGCTGCTGTGAGTTGGCATTGACTCAGTGGCTGTGGGATTGGTTGGTTCACACTTTCCAGGGCAGCAGGTCACTCACGATGTTCTTTGCACTGCTAGGCAAATGTCACTTTATCATTCCTCAGCTCCTCTCGGTACTTCCAGCCCCAGGCTTGTGTGTCAGTGGGCCAGTGGCTGCAGGAGGTATGGCCTAAAATCCGCGTCTGTTGTGGGGACCGCCCTGCCCCAACACCATCAGAGAACAAGGTGTGCGTAGCTCATTAGGCTGTATCAGGATCCTAATAGTGTTTTGGAGATGCAATTCCAATAGGATTTTTAGAGATGACATAAGGAAATTATTATTTTAATGTGACTCTACTGTATACAACAGGCTTGTAGAACTGTTTCTTACCATGTCACCCTTTTCCTCACCTTCCCACCAGGAATGAATAGAGTGGAATCATTTGTCCCCATCAAAGAGAACCAGTGGGTGATACTAGAGTTAGTGGGGAACACGAGGTTCCTAGTAGAGCCCTTCTTCTGTCCTGGAGAGAACGGCATTACACGTTGTCTGCCGGTATTGCTGGTGTTTGGCAGCAGGGAGCTGGTGGAGGATGAGAATGTGGGATACATTTGTCTGCTCCAAGGTGGCGTTTGAGTGCAGTTAAATTCGTCGTAGAAACTTTCAAGCAGATGGGATTTGTCCGGCACAATGAAGTGTTTCCTAAAGGTTCTTTCAGCTTTTTCCAAGTTGAAGCTGCTTCAGTCTGTGGTAATTTCCTAAACGAATGCCAACACATGGTCCTTTCTTTCCCCGCAAAAGGAACAAATAACACTTACTGAAAATGTGGGTGTTTACGTATATGTGGAAGATAATTCTTAGTAGTAATCCTGTTGGATTGAGCAAAAGCTTTCTTCTTTTATTTGTTAATACAAACTACCTCAGAAGAGAATTTTCTTTGGCGACCTTGTTCCTTCCGATTGGACTTTGCCCAGCAGTGGATGTTGTCGGGGAAGTTTGAAGAAATGTTATGTGGCTGTTTTCTGTGGGTAGTAAGATGGAAAAATCGTAGCAATGAATCCAGATTTTACTGGTTATCCTGGAACTTGGAAATGGCTGACCTAGCTTGGCATTTAAAACGTTCCCTTTTGGGCTTGGGAAAGAGTAGTTCTTGGACAATATCTTGGTGGAAGAGTTAGTGTCTGAGCATGGGACGTAGGATGTACCCTCCACGCCTGTCTTTTCTGGAAAGATGTGTGTGTGCACAGTACACCTGCATTCAGACCGCCCTCACCTTTTACCGCAGGGCATTCCTGGAGACCGCAGCGGTCCACGCACACTGGGAAGGCACGTCGTATCGCCCCGTTGGAACAACAACTGGTATTTGTATAGTCCTGACTGTGGGTGCCAAACACTACTCATCATTTACATGAGTTCACTTATTTAATCCTCACAACTGTGTGTATATGAAGAAACTGAGACACAGGGAAGTTAAACAACTTTCCGAAGACTACAAAGCTGGCTAATGGGAGACCAGAATTTTAACTTAGGCAGTTGGACTCTGAAGTTCAAGTAATCAAACAACTGCTATGTGTTGCCTCTCAAACAATGTTAAGACATTATGGTGGTTTTTTAAAAATTGGGCTTTACCAACTGTATCTGACTAAAATTATGTTGTAAAAGCAGGATGTTAATTTATTTAATATTCAACGTCATTGCTTATAAAGATTGGGAATTATAAACATGATTCTTTAATTCTGCTAACCAAGTCCCCCGCCCAATTCACTATCATCTAGTTCAGTGGTTCTCAACCTTTCTAATGCCGTTGCCCTTTAATACAGTTTCTCATGCTGTGGTGACCCTCCAACCATAAAATTATTTTCGTTGCTACCTCATAACTGTAATTTTGCTAGTGTTATGAATCGGGGTCATGACCCAAAGGTTGAAAACCGCTGATCTGGTTGATTCCAACTCATAACGACCCTTAGGACAGAGTAGAACTGTCCCTGTGAGTTTCCAAGACTAACTCTTCTGGGGAGTAGAAAGTCTTGTCTTCCTCCTATAGTTCTCCCAAGGTGGGTATAAATATACTAATCAGCTGGACTCTGCAAAGGTCCTCAGTATTGCATAAATAATATATCATTCTTTAAACTACAGATGATAAAGTAGAGCTTGATGTTTAATTGATTCTAAATCTCTGAATTGGTTTCGAGAAGGCATTTGACTGCCTTAGATTGGGCTGGTCTAGCTTGCTCTTGCTCAAGAAAACTCCCTAGAAATGCCTTCTCTGCAAGACTGCCTAGGCAGGCACACCAGTTTCCCTTTCACTGACAGGTTGGATGGATAATGCCTGTTTGTGATGCAGTATTATATGTTATCAATTTTTCCCCTCCCTCCCAAGGTAAACAATGCCATTTGTCTTTAGGCCTCCATAGTATAAGTCCAAACATCATCTTATTATCTTATGATTGTGGGATCCAGGGGTCGACGTGGTCTGGTTGAAGCCCAAGAGTGGCTATTTGCTTCTGGGCAGAACTGATACTCTTCTAGAGACCTGGGGGTCAGAATTTACTCTGGGGCTAATATGGCCAGTACCTTGGGATTCTCTTTGTGTTTCACTCAATTCTGAATCAATGGAAATGCAGTTTGCTTCATGAATTACTGAACAGTCATTATTGTGGTGTATGCAGATCGTTGAGTAGTGATACCCAAGACCTCATCTCACTCTCACTTTTCCTCCCTCCCTCTCTCTGTCCAGCACAGACCCTGGATCCTCATGGTCTATGGAATGTGGGCCTGCTGGTGCGTTCTGGGGGCCCCAGGGATGGCCACAGTTTTTCTCCATACCATCATCTCCTTCTGTGTGGCACAGTTCCAGTCGCCGCTCCTGTCGTGGCTTTGTTCCCTCCTCCTGCTTTCCACACTGAGGTTGCCAGGGCTGGAAGGAATTAAGGTAAGTGTGTTTGGCTTGTTTACCTTGATGGCTTTTGTTTTCAGGCAGGAGTCTACTGAGGAACCTTCATAGGGCTCCCCCTAGTGGCTGTATGTGATATATACAGGTGAACTTGATCTTATGTCCTGCAGTCTTAACTTTTGTATGTGACTAGATCTCAGCTAGCCCTTCTGTGCTGCCCACCGCCAACCTGGTATCTTGACTTGCAGTTTGGTAGGCACAGATGTCTGAAGTCACAGGAACAGAGCTTCAGGGCAAAGGAAATTAGCAAGTAATAATTCCCCCGGCATTTAATAGAATGTATCTGTCGAATGCGCTTTAATTTACAGGATCCTCATGTACCTCTCTTATGCGATGCCTACAGTAGCTCCTGAGACAATAAGGAGGGGGTTGTTCTCCCTCTTAGATGATGAAACAGGTTTATTGAATATTTACTTACATACACACTGGAAGCCCTGTGAATTTAGAAAATTAAAACAATGTGCTTTGTCCCAAAGGGTACGGAACAAGCTCTTATTCTTGTGAACCCCAATGAATCTTAACACATTAGCATATTTATTGTGCTAATGGAGGACGACATAGGATCAAAACTCCATGTTTACAGAGCTTTTGATTGCATTAGTAGAATTTTCTTCTACAGCAGTTTATGTTCTGAACTTTTTAGCCATAAGAACTTCAACTCAAACCAAGCCCTTGCGATTGACTTGGTTCTGACTCATGGAGTCCCAAGATGGTAAACCACTTTAAAAAGTTTTATTAGCACTTCATGCACATGTCATACAATGAAATAATTCCATCACATCAAGAAGAGTTGTACACTTTTCACCACATTCAATTCTCAAACATTCGTCTTCCTTGTATTCATTGTTATTCATGTAATTGTTTTATCTAATTGTGGCAAAAATAGACACAACAAAACATTCTCCAATTCCACAATTTCTACATGTATAATTCAGTGGCATTGATTATATTCTTCATGTTGTACAACCATTAATAATATCCTTTATCAAATTATTCTACCACCACTAACATAAACTCAATGTCCCCTAAGCAACAACTCTTTGCCCTTCACCATTGGTCAAGTTTGGTTTCTTTCCTTTTTTTTTTTTTTTTAGCAGTTTTCTTGATATAATGTTCATACATTATATACTTCCCTGGTTAAACCACTTTTTAAAAGAGTTGTAGATACATCATCACAATCAGTTCTAGTGCTCTTTGCCCCCTCCTGCATTTATTGTTTGCTCCTCAAATCTCCTCACCCTCCTCAGAGTGTAAATTTTTATGGAAGCAGAAAGAAAATCTCTTCTTTTTCCTTTGGAGTGGCTCATGAGTTTGAATGATCAAACTTAACTGATAGCAGTTCTCTTGGAAGCAAAACCTATGATGCTTCATATATGTAAATATAGAAAGGACTTTATGTCAAAAATGGCTCACATAGTTGTAGAACTATACAAGTCCAAGTCTGATCAGATTTCAAATTGGAGGGTCAGCTGTTGGGCTGGAGGCTTCTCCTGGTTTACATAGCTATGGGAGCTGAAGAACCAGTGGTCGACAGGAAGACAACAAGCCGGGGGCTGCAGAAACGAATGAATCTGAAGTCAAGAGGTCACATGGCACGTTGCTAAGACTCCCAGGATCATCAGGCAATATTGCAGGCAGTTTGCTCAAGTCTAAAGAACTGGAGGTCAGTGAGCCAGATGGCAGGAAATGGATCCAGCAGCAAGCAAGCAAGCTTTTCCACAGCATCCCCTTATGTTGGAAGCAGGCCACACACCCCAGGCCATTAATTACATCAAGGCTGCGACCTGAGTATAGATACCACCTTCCATCCTAATCTTATTCCATTATGGAGGCTTTTGGCTGGTTGGCTTCAAGTACATTGTGTTAGGTCAGGTCCAAGAAACGCTGGTCATGTAGTGGATTATGAGTTACGCTGCTAACCCCATTGTCAGCACTTCCGACACACCATCCACTCCATGGGAGAAAGATTAGGATTTCTCCTCCCATAAAGATTTACAGCTTGGAAACCCAAAGGGGCAGTTCTACTCTGTCCTTTAGGTCATTATACATCAGAATTGACTCAACAGTGAATGAGTGAGGTCTGGTCATGGAAGATTGCTAGGTGTGAACTGCCAAACTACTGAGAATCCTGGCTTAACCAAGTTGACACAACCTTAACTATCACAGCAGCCAAATACCTTACCCACAGTGCCTCTAGATTCTCTTAGTAATCAGAACAGCGCTTTTTTATTTTGTGAATGGCCACCAGGTTTGGTCCTGGGCAGACTGGGAGGCAAAGAGATGGCACCCCGAGTCTAGGGCTCTGATGTAATGCTGAGCTGACTGCCCTGCTCAGTGAAGCCTTTGTGCACTGTTTTAGTTCCTGTAGTATGTTCTCCAATCCTCTTGGACAGCTCCAGACTGTCTGGTTGTCTTGGTAACTTGCATATCTCATGCCTGCTTGTGTAAGTCAGTTAGGACTTGGTGGGACTGCTCAGGCTGTCCGTGTAGCTTCCCTTTCTTCCCTTTCTGGGTGGTGAAACTTGTCTAACAGGCTCAGCTGATAAACAAAAGATTGGAGGTTTAAGTCCATCCAGAAACACTATAGGAAAAAGGCTCAGCAATTTACTTAAAAAAAGAAAAGTAGACCCTGAAAACCCTATAGAGCACAGTTCTGTTTTTTTAATTTTATTTAAGGACTTTTATTGGGGGCTCTTACAGCTCTTATCACAATCCATTGTGTCAATCACATTTGTACATATGTTGCCATCATCCTTTTTAAAGCATTTTCTTTCTACTTGAGCCCTTGGTATCAGCTCCTCATTTTTTTCCCTTCCTCCCCCACCCTCCCTCCTTCATGAGCACCTGATAATTTATAAATTATTATTTTCACATCTTACATCATCTGCTGTCTCCCTTTACCTACTTTTCTGTTGTTCGTCCACCTGGGATGGGGTTTTATGTCGATCCTTATAGTCAATTTCCTTTCTCCTCCTCACCTTCCCCTTCCCTTCCTGGTATCTCTATTCTAATTATTGGCCCTGAGGGGTTTATCTGTCCTAAATTTCCTGTGCTGCAGGCTCTTATCTGTAGCAGTGTACAGTGTTCTGGTTTAGTCAGAATTGTAAGGTAGAATTGAGGTCATGATA